AAAATATTGGGTTCCCAATATCAAAACAGCGATTTTAAAGAAAACCAGACGAAACCTCATACTGACGAGGTTGAGTTAAGATGTACATGACTTAATGGACCGAAACGTCTTATCTCGCTCTCACGTTCTTCAATCAACAATACTACTTCCCCCTACTCCTTCACACTCTGCCATCTGCACTTCCAGGGTTAATCTGGAGGCTGCAATCTGCTATACGGACACCATGGAGATAACTTATGGCCTCTAGCGGCAGTATTCGATTGCGGGATTTGTTAAATTCCAGTGAATCAGAACAGCTTTTAGGGTTGCCTCTCAAGCAAAACCTGCGTAAGAGGGAATCATCGACAGCCCTGCCTGTGGATAATTGCTGATGGTGAAATGCTATCAGTCGATTCTCCATCAAATGCCCCCCCCCCCACTCCCTTCTTGAACAGTGAAAGATGAAAAATTCCTGCGGAAGCTCCAATTTTTTTAAAAATGAGTTCTAACTCGAAGAGTGAAAGAGAATGAAAGTTCTGATTTTGTTAAGACGAAAAAAAAAAATTCCTCAAAATTAACTACCGGTGGTTGTGGATGATGAGATGCCGAATGAGTTGGGACCGCAAATACCTGGTGCTGCTGCAGCATGTGCCTGTGCGATGCATCACTACAGCCAACACCAGTCATTTTTAGATCTCCTGAAAAATGCGACCCTCTTAACCACTTTATATAAAACCGTATCTTTTTTTTTTTTGGCCGAACTTAAAGCAAAGGCACTTTCTGTATTTATCGAGTCTTCACCATTTAGGTTTCCAGGGTCAACCTGGATGCAATCGCCTTGACAGTCCAACTATCGATGTACAGTTTCCACACTGATTCTCCTTTCCTCCAAATAATTTTTAGCCAAATCCGACCCGAACCTCATTATGAGAGGGGAATCAAACTGCGGTAGTAATCTGTCTTCGGCTACGAATAAGCCACATAATCTGTACATACCGTCATCGTCCTCACCGGCGCCAGCCATACCCTCATCCTGCTCCTCATCACCGCAGCTGTATGAAA